AAATAGAAATAAAAATTAGTAATCTTGGAGAGGTAACTAAAATATATCTAAATGTTGAATCTAAAAAAAATATTATCTCATATTAATAATAAATTAGATCAAATTGTGATATCTTCTAAACAAGATTATGATATAGATTTAGGTCATTTATATTATGGAAATGGAAACATCATATTAGTATTATAAGATGAAGAAGAAAGTTTATCTAAAGGTTTGTCTAAAAAGGATGAATATAAGAAAAAACAAAAAAAGGTTTACACCTCAACAAAAATATGATTTTCAATATTATAAAGAATTAATAGAACATTGGAAATTAAAATTTTTCACTACTAAGGATAAGAATTAAAAAGTAAAATATTTAAAATTAGTAGAAAAACTTTATGAAGAACATAAATAATTATTTGCTTTATTTAACTATCATTGTATGTTAAATTATGGTACTACATACAATAGTACCAGTTCTGAGAATAATTCAGAAGATATAAAAGCTATAAATGTTTTAGAAACAACTGAAACAGATACATCTGATGAAGAGAACAACTCTTCAACAGAAGAAAATATTAATAATCCAGATCATATGGAAACAAATCAAACAGATCCAGATCCAAAAGGAAAAAGAAAATTATATCCTGATAATTTTGAAGACGATTATTTAAGATATTTTAATCAAAACAACGATAGAGACTAATATACTACTAGGTTAATAGGAGATCAAATCGAAAATATTTACACTAATTAATTCAAAACTGAACAAACAGAAGAAACTTCACAACCAGATCCTTATAGCGTAGAAAATCTTAATAGAATAAATGTTGCTCAAGGAGAAGCATATCTAAACATAACTAATATTCCTATATCAGACTATGCAAAATTCATAGATTATTGGGCACAGTCTATGACAATTGTTGTAAAGAACAATAATTGGCCAAACAATGTTGATACCAAAAACGATTCTCGACGAGACAACTTTTGAGTTGGGTCTTTCTTGTTTTTAATATGAATGTGTTAATGACAATAGATGTGGTTAATCCACTAAATAATCGACTTTCAAAGATAAACTTAGGAAGACTGGTTACATGAGAGAAATACAAGTTACAATGGGTTGAACTTTGTAGACTGTAACCGACGTGAATCCCGAAGGAAAAATACATTTCCATGATCGAAATATTCAAATAAAAACTAACTCGAAGCAACTTTTCTACCGGTGAATTTCATTATTTTATTTCAATTTTTATTTAATGTTTTTCTTTGATACATTGTTCTTCTCAATTTTATTTTGTTCATTTTACTTCCTTGACTTCTTCTCATCAATCACGCCAATTTCTCCCATTTTATTCTACTTTTACTTCATCTTCTAGATCGAAATCAAGGCAAAACACAATTAGAAATTCCAGCAACTCCTCTGGATCGACCTTCTTCCACTATCTTACTTTAATTTAATTTATTTATTTTATTACTTGAAGAGGTTTTATTTTATTATTTTTTACGAGTATAACTATGATTGTTAGCTATAATAATATGATCTACTATCATATCCAAACAGGACTCGATCTAAAATCATAAGCAAGAAATATACTGAACGATAATACCAAATAATGTTGAACCGATGTCCGAAGAATATTTGTACATCAAAATTATATGGGTAACGCAACATATATTGAAGCCATAAAGCAATTACAAAAAATAGTTGACATCGAAATTAAGGACTACCCAAACAATATAATCGAAGGAATAAATTGCTCGTAGAACAATTGGAACTCACCGCCATTGTCACCGCAATCTTTACACTTAGACGAAATCAAGACCATGTATTTAGACAACATGCTAGAAGGATAAAAACTATCAGTACCTTAAGGAAGACAATAATAAAAAAAGTACAATACGTGGAAGCCATCACAAAAGACAAAAATAAAAGCACCAACACGTAGAAGACTACCAAGGCGGACTTCAAAATCAATTGAAAGTAGCATGGTAATGTAGTCTACAAAGGGAGAGGCAAGGTATCACCTTTTGGAACACCTTATGACCTTTAGAATCACCTTTAGCATCACCTTTTCCACTACTACTCTATAACTTAGTTCTTTTAGGTTTTTCTTTGTAATATTTCGTTCTCTTTCTTTTGTATCACCATCCTTGTGTAAAATATTTGTGTAAAATCATTTTCGCACCCTTATTCCCCCTGTAATTGGTATCACAATCGACAACCAAGTGGGCTTCAACACACATAAACTCGGAGATAAAAAATAAAATTGAAACGAAAACATGGAAATAAAAGCAACCAACACTAACATATAACTCCCCTGAACAATGTAAATATATAAATTATAAATAATAGAAAATTATATTTTCTACAAATTTTTATGTAAATATTTTAATTTTAAATTGAGAATTTAACTTGTTAGAAAAATATATCTCAAGGATAATCCGATAAAACATATATATTTCTTATCTTATATTCATTCAATTAAACTAATAATCTTACATTTATGTCAAATAAACTAAACATGATAATACAACATTCCTAGTAATGTAACATTTCAGTAATCTCATTCCCGATGATAATCATACATTTTGTGAAACAAACGATCTCTTAAAATTTTTATGTCACCTTCCTCTCTTACTTTGATTTTTGTTTAGTCAACGGTGGTACCAATATTAATATTGATTGTTGACCATCGATGATTATTATTTATCTTGTTTTTTATATTATGTCATTTATTTATTTATTTTTATTTTTTTAATTATAAAAAAGAATTTATATCCTTGTAACATGATTTTCTCTGCTTTTGTAGCATATTTTTTTATCTGCACTTGTGACACAGTTTTTTTTTCGTATGTTCCTCATGTGGTTGTGTTGGTGTTTGCACATAGATTCTCATGATATTTGTTTTTTGCTTGGTTTAGCGGTGACTCAGTGGTCACATATTGTTAGATCCCCTATTGGATAAAAGGTTGTTTATCAATATAATTAGAAATATGTAAGAAGTAATCTATCAAATTATTTGGTTCTCTCACTACTCATTTATCACTCCGTAAAGCGTCCTTATTCGCTGAAGACAAGGAATTTTATAAAGATAATTGTGTTCTTTTGATGTTGGACGTTTAGTGATTATTGTCTCCAATATTTTATTTGAATGTGTTATAATTTTGATTCATTCAATTACTTTTATTAATGAAATACAATTGTAACTGTTTAAGAAGAATGAATTTTAAATAAATAGTATAATCTAATTAAATTTGATTTGGGATCAATTTTTTATTAATTAATAAAATATTGAAAATAAAATTAAAAAAATCATAGTATTTTTCTTAAAGGAGTGTATTATATGCATTTAAAAGATTGAAACATGCAAAATAAGACAACTGATATGAGTCACATTAAAATATCTTTCTAAATTTAAATGGAAGAAAACGTGTGCATCTTCCGCAAAGACCAACTTACCCCAATTTAACACAGATTCGTTAAAAATAAATCAGAAATTGCCACACCAAGTTATATTCTAATTAGACCGAATTATCCTTAAATGGAGGAAGAATGGCAGAGTTAGCGGGCCTTAAATCAAGTTATATTCGAAATCATTCCTAGCTAGATATAATCCTACAACTCTTAACTAACCTTGAAACTACCTCCAATAATGATGTGTTTCCACCAAATTGGGGGTTAGTTTTACTGTATATATAAAATTATTATTGAATTTTCTTTTCACTCCTTTTAAATTATTAAATTTTTAGAAAATAACTTTAATATTTAATTTTATCATTAAGTTTAATTGAGCACCGACAATTATAATAATATTTACATTTAATATCAAAATAATTGAAATTCTTTAAAAATAGATAATACCAATTATAATCCTTAGATTAATCAAAAATAATAATAAAAACATAGCCAAGTAACCTATTTCTGCTGACATCGATTACTGTTGCTGGCGTAAAAGTCATATATTGTTCACCTTTTTTTTTCAGCCCAGTCATCGTCAGCGATCACTATCGTCAATCACACATCATTCAATTAAAAAATTCTCTATTTTTTGCGATTATTCCATCGACTTTTCTTCAGCTAGATGTTATGTTGCTCTTTTCCTTCCTTACTCCTTTGATTCTATGGATGTTGTGGTTATAGGCGAACTAGCATTGGCATCATCATTATCCCTTTTGTCTTTTTCTTTTTATTATTATCATTTCTTAAAATAATATTAGATGATAAAACGAGTTTAATGAAAAAAATTAAAAATCAAGCGACAAATAATCGATATTGATAAGTAGTGATTGAAATTTGGATAACAAAAAAGAAAATGAAGAGAATAAATTTATAATTTACCTATAATATTAAAATGAGTTGATTTAATTTATTAAGCAGACATTACTATTAGTACTGGTTTTTATAAACAAAATTTTCTCTAAAATTTACCTAGAAATTTTAGCGACAAATAGAGTTGAATGGCATCTGCGTTGAGAACGTTAGATGTGCGTGGCTTTGGTTAAATTTGTTGAATAAGAAAAGGAATTATGTAAGCAGCACATTAATTGGGTAGGAGGCCAAACCAGAGCATCTCGAAAATGTGAAATGGGAGAGATTAGCGTTTGCTTGGAGATAGCCTAATGCTAAACATTGAATTTGCATGACCACATTTCCACGCACAGTTAGAAATAGAGTTAGCCATTCAATTCCACATTTATTTTAAAGTAACAACAGGAAAGAGATGAACGAGAACACGCAGATCGGCTTTTCATACAATATTGGACTGGACCACAACCAGCTGAAACAGTTGAGAACAATAAATTCTTGAGTTAAACTAGTCGTCAAAAATGGAAAAGTGGATGGCAACTTTCTCATATTTATGTTGGTCTTTGTATTATCTTAATAATTTAATATAGGCTGCAAATCTTACGTGATTTTAGACAGAAAAAATGACCATCACGTGTCGTTCTGTAGGATTTGTTGCTTTTGATTTACCTGGCTACAGTTCAGCTTGATTGCACCTTATATACTACTGCATCCCCTCAAAGCCATTTGCAGGTACCAAAAGCATGGCTTCTAAACCAGGATTTCTCACAGATTGGCCATGGAAGCCTCTTGGAAGCTTTAAGGTAACATGATTTTCTCTTTCTCTCTTATGTATCTGATATTTGATATTTCTCTCACGCACTTACATATTTTGTCGTTGCAGTACATAATCCTGGCTCCATGGATTACTGAGAGCATATACTCAATCATGGGGAAGGATGCAAAGGACTGGGACTATGGAAACCTTTCGATAATCCCGTTCGTGTTATGGAGAATGTTGCACAACCAGATATGGATCAGCCTTTCTCGTTATCGAACTGCTAAAGGCACCAACAGGATTGTGGACAAGGGTATAGAATTTGACCAAGTTGATAGGGAAAGCAACTGGTAATTCAATATATGTGTTATATTTTGAAGAAAAAAAAACATAAGCTTTAAAAGTGGAATTGTTGACCATGAATGTTATTGCAGGGATGATCAGATATTGTTCAATGCAATTTTGTTTTACCTTGGGATCAAATACGTTCCAGGAGCTTCATACATGCCTATATGGAGAACAGATGGTGTGATTATAGCCATGTTGCTCCATGCAGGTCCTGTGGAGTTCCTTTACTACTGGCTTCATAGAGCACTGCACCATCATTATCTTTACTCTCGCTACCATTCTCACCACCATTCCTCCATTGTCACTGAGCCTATTACTTGTAAGCCACCTCTCCTTTTAAATAATTTGAACTTTAAACTGTAATTATGAAACGATTGTGGGTGTTGCAGCTGTGATACATCCATTTGCAGAACACATATCGTACTTTCTCTTGTTCGCAATACCGATGTTGACGATAGCTCTAACGGGAACTGCTTCCATCTTCGCCTATGCTATTTACATCACTTTCATCGACTTGATGAACAACATGGGCCACTGCAACTTCGAGCTCATTCCCAACTGGTTGTTCTCCGTTTTCCCTCCTCTTAAGTACCTAATGTACACTCCATCGTAAGTCCTCTCTCTTCATGATCAAAATACCTTATTAATGGCAATAAAGATACGAGTTATTAGGCAAATAATCAAGCTTTATTCTTAATTCTTACCTAACAATGTCTCGACTGATACCACATGACATTATAGTGCTGAAAATAGATGTTTTGTGTTGTTGAATAAAACCCTGTAAACGTAGAAGCATCATTAGCTGGTGGATACGTGTCACCTAGTTTTGCTAACAGTTTTTGTACTTTGTACAGCGTGCTTATATTGAAAGCTTGTCTGCATTTGTCTGCCAAGTGGCTCGGTTCTCAATTAATAAATATATCATCCGTTTTTTGTCCTTTGCTTACCTATATTTAATGATCCCTAAAAGGAATTCTTGAACCAATTGCTCTAACTTAATAACATTTCAATAATACCGACTTTAAGTTGAGTTTTTCTGCAGATTCCACTCGTTACATCACACACAGTTCAGGGTCAACTACTCCTTGTTTATGCCAATCTATGATTACATGTATGGCACAATGGACAAAACTTCAGATACCTTGTATGAAAAATCACTCAAAAGAAAGGAGGAATCGCCAAACGTGGTGCATCTGACTCACCTACTCACACCTGAGTCAATCTATCATCTGCGTATTGGATTTGCCTCCTTTGCCTCTAAACCATACTCATCGGTTTGGTACTTGTGGTTGCTCTGGCCTGTTACTTTGTGGTCCGTGATGCTTACATGGATTTATGGTCGAACTTTTGTTGTTGAAAGGAACCGTTTTGATAAACTCAAAGCACAGACATGGGCCATACCCAAATACAGACAACAGGTTATGAACCTTTATTAGATTAACACCATCACTGTTGGTTATGTATGTATAATCTCAATCGTTAACAATGCCGTAATAAAATTTCAGTATCGCTTGATATGGCAAAAGGAGTCCATCAATAACTTAATTGAGGAAGCTGTAATAGAGGCTGATGAAAAAGGTGCTAGTGTGTTGAGCCTTGGCATAATGAATCAGGCAAGTTTTCTCCACTTTCTTCCCCATAATCAGTCACTATGATTGTGTGATGATCACATAAAATAGAATATTGTGCAGAGTGAAGAGCTGAACAAGTATGGTGAGGTGTATGTGAAGAAGCATCCGAAGCTTAGAGTGAAGCTAGTGGATGGGAGTAGCTTGGCAGTAGCAGTTCTTCTTAATATCATACCAAAGGGAACAACACAAGTACTTGTTCGAGGCAAGCTAACTAAGGTCGCTATTGCCGTTGCGTTCGCCCTATGCCAGAAGGGCATTCAGGTTGGTGTATCACGTGAGGATGAATATGAGAAGCTTGATAAGTCATTTGGCACCAACTCTGACGGTAAATTGGTTATGTCAAAGAGTTATAGCTCTTACAAGGTAATCAAAGTCTCAATCATCACTTAAAGGCTCAAGCAGCTCAAATAGTAGTGCTGATGGATTGCTGATATGTTGTAGATATGGTTAGTGGGAGATGAATTAGCAGAAGAAGAACAAAAAAAGGCATCTAAAGGAACACTGTTTATTCCCTTCTCGCAATTCCCACCCAAAAAACTGCGCAAAGACTGCTTCTATCACACCACACCCGCGATGCAGACTCCCATGGCACTTGAGAACGTGGATTCTTGTGAGGTTGGCCTTCAAACTTGGTAATGTTTCGGGTCTACTTTGTAACATATATGCATAAAGAATACAATTTGATTTCATGTGACAGAACTGGCTGCCAAGGAGAGTGATGAGTGCGTGGCGCATAGCTGGGATAGTGCATGGTCTTGAAGGATGGGAGGAACATGAATGTGGTTACACCATCTCAAGCATCGACAAAGTTTGGGAAGCATGTCTCAAGCATGGATTTCAGCCTCTGAGGATCCCAAATCAATCAAAATCCTAGATCACATTTCACATTGATATCATTTGTCTACTTCATAGCTATGGTTCTATGTATAAGTTTTTACCTATATGATATTATCCTTGTATTGGATTGGCCATGTGAGAGTCTCTGTTCCTCTCCCATGCCTCCAATAGTGCGTATTAGTGCTTCTCAGAGTTTAAATAAACTAGCATAAATTTATAAGCTGTTTGTGGATTGTATAACTGCTTTATGGTTGATTATGTTAACTTGTTTTGTGACTTTTCAAACCAATCAATCAACAAAATCCTAAATTTTGACATATGGAGATAAAAATAATATATAATAGGCTTATATCCATCATATCATGCGATTCAAACAAGTTCAAAAGGCATCCGAATCCTTACTGAAAAAAAAATCCAAAATAGAAACACATCAAATTCAAACACAAATGGTCACATTGCCTTTAATGATTTTAGGGTAAACTACACATATAGTACCAAAATTATTAGTTTTATTTTGTTTTAGTCTCTAAACTTTCATTTGTTTCAAAATCATACCTAACTTTTACTTTTTGTTTCAATTTAGTATCCCTCCATTAAAAACTCGATGGCATTGCATTTTTTGTGGGTAAATTATATTGTTCATCCTCACTCCCATTTTGGTCACTAAAGTTTAAAAAATTTCAATTTAACTATTCAACTTTCAAATTGCTTTTGTTTTAATCACTCTAATTTATTTTATTAATAATTTTTGTGACATGACATTTTTATTATTATTTTATCAAATATAATTAAAAAAAAAGGTGCAACGTACAACACATCAAGCATTTCCATTAAGTTTTTAACGATGAGAAACTAAAACAAAACAAAAAGTAAATTAAATGTGCAATTTTCCCATATTTTATTACATGCTTGAAAATGAAGCCTTGCCATAGATCAACCAATTCCCTTCCCATCAAATCCTCAAGAAGCTATTTCTCTAGGAAAAAAGCGGAGTAATAGACAATGAGAGTAAGCTTAAACAAAAGCTCAATTATGGTCCAAAACTATAGAAAACATACACAATAGCAAAATTTAAAAAAGAGCATTCAAATAGAAGCTTAGAACAAAAATTACTTACTAAATGCTTTATTTTCAAATTTTCATGATGTTGAGTGTAAACACTCGTTTTTAACCGGGCTTAAAATAGATAGTTATATATATATGTTATAATAATTATTTATTATTATTATTATTAATTATTATTATTTCTATTAATTTTTTATGCAGACCCCACTATCCCACCATTATCTCAACTACAAATCTATCTACCTACTCCACTACCACATGCATCAGGGAGCAAAATGGCGTGGATTTGAAGTGATTGAAATCAACTTTAAATAAGGGTGGTGGGGGCAAGAACGGGGGGAGGATCTGAGAAAGCAAAAAAAGAGAGAGAGGTGTTTGATCAGAGTCTGAGCCCCAAAATTGAAGTGTATGCTTTGTGCAGAGAAGATGGAAAACAAACAGTTTAAAGGGCACGTAATAGTGGTGCCATACCCAAGCCAAGGCCACATCAAACCTCTTCTCCCCTTCCAAAAAGCTTATCCACTCTCTCCCTCCGGGCCCTTCCACTTTTCGGCAACATCATATGGCTCACCAAATCGTTCTTCCAAATCGAGCCAATCCTCTGTAATCTCCGGGAAAAGCATGGCTCCATGATCCCTCTCTACATCAGTTCCCTTCCCTCCATCTTCGTCTTCGATCGTTCCCTTGCTCACCCGGGAAAGCATTGTTCCCTCTATACATCGGTTCCCATTCCAGAACGGTGCGTTGTTTTCAGACCGACCCAAAGCTCTTCCCACTGGAGGGTTTTACGGTGGAACCTGACATCGGAAATCCTCCATCCTTCGCGTATCAAGTCGTATTGTTATGCTCGTAAATAGGTTCTGGACATTCTTTTTGATGGGTTACAGTCCAATATTTATTTCTTTTTAATGGGTTAAAGTCCAAGCTTTTCTTTTTATTTTCCTTGATCCCTTTGTTCATTTCTGTTGTAAAAGCGAGAAATGTTGAAGTTGTGGAAATTTTATTAAAATTGTTTGACAATCCACAACTGACACGGGGTAGTACTTTTTTAAAATGCATGTGGAGATGTGCAGCCATTTATGGTCATGCATTTGAGTATTTATTAAGTGTACAATTTGTTACACATTTTTAACATTTTTCCTCACAATTTATTTATTTTTCTCTTCAATTTATTCAGTATTTTTTTTATCTAATATTTTTTTATTTTTTAATGAAAATTTTAACAAAATAAAGGTAAAAGAATTGAATTGAATATTTTAATTTTCGTAATTAAAGACAACTAATAAATTAATTGGTACTTAAAGAACGGTTCAAGGGTGATAATCATTCCTTGACCGTAATCGATTCCCGGACCCGATGTATTTATGGTAAAACGTAGATAATGTAAGATGGTGACAGATCAACTTTAATATTTTTTTAAAATGATCGATGGCGACTCCTAATCCATTTTCCTAAGTTGAAGCCTAATTCCGAACCCATCCGAAAGACGGTTCCGACATTGAGAACATACTATAAATATTATGAACTAAAATATGTGACACAATCATTCATGCTTTCTTACTTACAAGACGCAACTAGAATGTAATTCATCGTTAATGATTTATATTGCAGAAATTGGTTTTGTAGTGATACATAGGGATACAATGAGTTTCGATATTTATATCAAATTTTAGAATACATAGATATTATGTATTTGTATTCTTCATGATTTCTACGTTTATAGTAGATTATTGTTTTTCTCATTCGTAAAGATATGTAATGTTGAACCACGTTAAAATTTTTTTATTGTATAAATTTATTTTTATATTAACTTCGTTTTAGTTATTTTTCGTTCCTAAATTCCTATAAATTCCTAACATATAGATTCATTTTTCACATGACAGTATGTCTTGTTACGTTACTTCCGAATATACATAGCTCTCAAATGCATTTGTAATTTTACTTGTACGTGAAGCTCACGAGTCTACTAATTAATGTCTAAATAAATAGATTATGTAGGACCGAATCTACTTGTACAAAAGTAACATAATCAATCATAAAACAGTTATATATTCCACAAATATCTAGAGTTCCCAATAGATGCTACCGGAGGCATATGGGAGAGGAACATTTTACTCAATAGAGAATCTAACATGATGAATCCAGGATAAGGATAATATTATATAAGTAACTGCTTATTAATAGAACACACTGAATTAGAATAATCTAAGGGTAGTTCTCGGCAGTTTAATTTAAAATTAGTTCAAGATGATTTTTAATTTAAAATATTATTATATTTAATCTAAAAATTTATATTAATTTATAATATTTGTAATTGTAATCAAAAAATTATATTACGATAAATTCAAAACTAAATCATTAGGTTATAACAAGTATGGAATGTGTTTTTATATGATATGAAAATAGGGATATTAAAAGAGATGAATCCCATGGGACATGGCCGTCGAGATTAAATTAAATAAAGGAGGAAAGAGAAAGAAGGAGCAGAAGCATGTCAGTAGAGGTTGAACAGTGCAGAGAGAGTGACATTCAATCCCAGGAAAGCAAAACTAGGCCAATATTGAATTATTAATTAGGCATATACACCCTACCACTTGAGAATAGAACTTCCCCACTTGAAATATTCAATGACCAATTTGATCTTATATATTATATTATATTATATTATATGACATGACATAATTAATTTATTAATCAAATAAATAAAATATGAGTTGGGTTTTCATCATACCATCCATGATCCATATATATTATAGTCCAGATGGGATATCTTGTCCTCCTACGCAAGTCCTCGTCAATTCTAGCTTGCCCCTCCTTAGCTTTTTAGATTACAGTTATACATATTAATTCTAGCATGGTTCAGTTTTTCATTAAAAAATTAAATAAATACTAGTTTAGGGGAGAGAAGATTATCCTATTGCGAAGTCCGACATGTTATCGGTTTTTGTAAATTATTGAAAATAGTATTTACATATCACTTATTAAATATAATTATTAATGATATTTAAATATCAAATTTATCAAAATTTTATCATACCTTAAATAAATAAATAAAGTTTTTAAAAATAACATCTTACGTTTTAATCAGATGAAATTTATAAATAATCGATATGAAACGATGGGTTAAGTACTAAAGTGTAGAAAGATAGTTATCAAAGTAAAAAAAAATGAATAAAATTTCAGGCCCACATCATAAATTAAGCCATATACAATATATATACATGTGCACGCGAAATGCTATGCATGTGATTTGCAATGCAGACTGCCCTTATTCAAAACCAATATGTGTGTATAGCTATTAGCTAAGGCCTAGGAGAAAATGGTTGACGCTTTTGGGTTGCTTTATGGTATAATATTAAAAAGAATATCCTTAATATTTGATTCAATAACTATTTTAATCTTTATGGTATAATATTAAAAAAGCCTAGGATAAAATGGTTGCCTTATCCAAAACTATTTTTTTTTACTAAGGGTTGATTAAAGTGATAAGTAGGATAGCACGAGGGTATAATTTTATAGATTTAGTACCGCACTCGTGTCAATTGGGGTGGAGATGAGTATAAGTTTAGTAGGTAGTAGATGGGTGTAGATGTAAAAAGTCATACCCGTCGTGGATAGTGGGTAGGTGATGAGTTTGAGACCTTATTTGCCCCGCATCCGTTCGCCCCACATCTGCTCGCCCACTAACTACCCACCATATAAATTTTGGATCATTATGAATTTAAGTATAATTTTAAATACTAATCTATAAATCTTAAGATTTTATATAATATGACTTGTAATATAACCAAATGTTAGGATATAAATATTTTTAGAATTGAATATTGTCACTTATATAATATGGGAGGTTACATGAAGGGGTACAGTAGGGTACGAGATGAGTGGTGGGTAACTAGTTGGGTAGTGAGTGTGAGGGTGGATTTGAGAATATACCCGTATGTACGAGTGTAAATTTAAAAATTTTACCTATCATGGGTAGTAGGTAGGTGATGAATACAAAAATATTAGGTGGGTATGAGGATGGGAGAAGGGGTATCCGCATTCTTTCCGCCTGTTTGTCATCCCTAGCAGTGAATAGCTTGATATCGCTTAAGCAAAGTTATGAATTCGAATACTTGTGTATGCAAAAAATCGTTGCCGAAAGA